GAGACCAATATGAAGGTTGGCGTCCGAATAACCACTCAAATGAGGACTTTAATGGTGCAAAAAGAAAGGTGCCACCTAATACTGTGACACCTAGCTGGCGGGTGTCTACAGTGGGCATCGTGGTATGAGCACAAAACATCCAGCCACGCAGAGATGAATGAAAGGGGAGATGACACACTGAGGATCTCGCTATACATCATGACCTTCCATGTGTCTACCTGGGAGCTTTGCATCGTTGAGCGACCAGTCAAACTTGTTGTTGCCTCTGGCTCGTCTGTAGGGACGTGATTCACGGTCCTTGCCAGGGAAGAGTGGCTTGCCCTCAAGCATCTCTGCATAAATGCAGCCTGCACTCCAGATGTCTGCAATGTCATACTTCTGCCAGGTAAGCATGATCTCCGATGCATGATAATACCACGTCGAGATGTAGCTGGCCATCTGAGGGTCGTGGATCTGTGCCAAGCAAAGGCACAATCTGTGCGGTGTGAACGGTTGGGTGAACGATCCTCATATATGCGCTGTGTCATGGTTCTCGTTGATGAGAATGTTGCTGAGTTTCTGTGGTGGCGCAGAAGTACGTTAGTGCACTAAGTGCACTACAGCACTACATCGATGGATGACCCCAGCAGAATGTACGTATTTGAAACCTCACTGAAAGAGGCAGTTAATGACATGCGCCGGAAGCACGAAGTGCACATATGTGCTGTACAAGCATCTGGTAGAGAAAAAGTAGTGAATAAACTGCTTCTCGAGAGGACGAGAGGTGAGCAAGGATATGATGAGCAGGGAAAATTCTTCATCAGGTGACAACAGTGGTGGTGAAGTAAGATGCAGAAGTGTCTGAAGGAGAGATGCAAGGGGCCTATGGCAGAGGGTGTACTCATTGCTTGTAAAGTAGTATGAATACCTACTAGATCACTGCAACTGACACGCATGATACGGCGACCAACACAATTACAGTATGACATGAGTGGTCGGTGCTGAAGATCAGATGCAATAGCGATGGCATCGTCACGATTTCCCCATGCGAGTGCTCGAATGATTGCAGTCGAGCAATATCGCAGATTATTCTCCATGACCTCAGGGAGGTCTGTTGCATAGAGCAGGTCCTGTCCAGGCTTCAGCAGTGCAGCAATGCAGGATGCTACCAACCCCACCTCTCAATGACCGTCAGAGGCTCTGAATGTGGATTGGATAGCATAAATGGTGGTGGGTTGAGTTCTAGCAGGTCACCGCCAGCTGCGGCATGAGAGCGTTGATCCCGTGGTTCCAACCGTCTTTATTTATCATCTGCAGCATATCCTTAGCTTATTTAAACTGAGATACATGTACCATCGCCTTGTGTCCTGCTCCTGCCAGCAGATTTCTGTTACATGTGAACTGGTTCATACATTGAGGGGTATGGCCACTGCCATACTTCACAGTGAAGACATGTCGTGGCAAATGTCAGCTTACCCTTTCCGGCACGCTCTCCTAATGGCCAGGCAATGCTCGAATGTTCTACAGGAGGCTTTGTGCACCATCTCTTCTTTAAAGAATCTTTCGTTCATTCTGCTGCTCCCTGAGGTTGTCTCAGTCTACCGCATCCTCAGTGACCACCATGGCTACAAACACTGTTATCACCACCAATGAGCACGAGTTGAGTATCATCGCCCTGTGAGTCACATCCTCTACTCTGTATGAGGTGCATTTGAAAGGAAGGACACAACACCAGCTCGGGCATGCTTGGGCATGGCTACGATCTGCACACACGCTGTATGAGAAGACTCACCCAGACATGCTCCCAGGTCCCAGTGGCATGCTCAACCTCACACATATAATGTACAAGCAGCTCACTCTGCACATCATGCACGTACGTGGTATCATGTTCGAGTCGAGGCCATATCGAATCAAGCTCAAGGGCGTGAAGAAGACTGGCTTCCGCTTGGTGTTCATTGGTGGCATCCGTGATGTGGGGCTCATTGCGCAGATTAACGTGCACATCATTCTAAGCATGCATATAGCGCATATCCTCACATGTTGATCATCCAGCATGTCCTGTCCATTGTCGAGAATGACGCACAGATGATGGACCTGAAGTTCACAGGTGACAACTGCTGCATCGCATTCGACGTATACGGGAAGAACAGGGTGCACATATATGCTTGTTTCTGCACGGACGACACTGATGATCACATCAGGTGATGGGTCTGCTTGAGGCGGTCAAGCAGCACACTCACGAATTGTGCGTCCTCTGTGAGGTGCTCACACCTACGCAGGGACTCGTGCACAGCGTTTTCAATGCACTGTATATTGTGCTGCTGCACACTCCATATGCGTACCAGGTGCATCCTTCTCCTTCCCCTGTTCTTCCCCACTCACATGCCATTTCATGGGTTGCAATGGGTGAGAACCTCGTCAGTCCATTTACGTCAATGGAGACAGGCCTCGGTGAGGCCTCTGAATTCTGCGTGTACCATCTCATCGACGTCGATGACCCCCTCGCACCGTTCCCGATTACCTACCAGACTGTAGGGGTAGAAGGTCAATGTACATGTGCCTCACGCTTGTGGAGATGTCGAGTGCAGCACATGCGCTGGAGCAGATGAAGAAGGAAATGGAGGGCAAGAAGGTCGACCTGGTCACCCAGTGGCAGTGGGCTATCAAGTGTGGGGAGAAGGTGATTGAGCTGCAAGATGTGGTGATGGTGTTGAGGAGTAAGAATGTGCATAGCTTTGCTTTCTATATGCACTGGGCGACAGGCTGATGATGCCCGATTTCAGAGCGGCCCATACAAGTTGATGTTCGACGTGATATTTCTGAACGAGGAAAACTTCCAGGAGGTAAAGAATAGCGGTGTGCCCAAGAAGGATATCCTTGTGAAGGTGTATGGTGTGAAGCCCGAGATGATGCTCACCTGTCTATTCTTCCCACAGGTGCATGCGTTCAAGTTCACTATTTCGAGGTGCGATGGATATCCTTGGTTGATGAATTCATGTTGACTCGCCTTCTACGCAGAATGCAGCCAAATGGTAGCTTTGGGGAGACTGACATGCATGGGTGTGAGCAGCATATACCTTTGGGTGATCAGACGTTCCGCTGCCGGTCACTGCACAGTGATCTGCAACATAGACCTGAAGAGGTCAGATTAATACCCCGGGGTCTGGTTTGTACAAAAGGTCACAATTTGCTGATGGTTTGAATGTGGTGTTTGTAATGTTGCTTTCATGTCATACTGGAGCTTGAATGCTGAATTGCAGGAGCTTGAATTATCGTAATTCTTCTATGTAGACCAGGGTTCAGACCATAGGCATTCCCTTCACACAGCCATTAGGTCAAGTAAATCATTACTCGTGGATACATCAAGTAAGTAATCATATGTGTTAAAATGTACAAGATCATGGATATTGCACACGAAGTCACTCTTGAACTCCGCTATGCACAAGCTCCATGTTGGCAGCACCCTCGTCGACATCAGCGCCAGTCAACTCACCCTCTTCACTGCCAGCCAACTTCTGCATCTGCTGCATGATTGTCATGATATGTGCCAGGCTGTTCTGCTGCAGCTGCTGTGCAAATGTGCCATTGTCATCCACCGGTGCATGAGGGTTCCACATAATGGGCTCGCTGCATCAGCCATCATTGAAGTACACGTAGTTGAGGAATGCCCTTCAGAGCAGATCTAGCGACAGCACCAATGGGTCACCGATTACTATCAGGAGGGCTTGAGCTCGTGTGAATGCAACTGGTACCATGCAAGGTGAGCTGAATGTATGAGCCATACTGGTAGAGAGTATGATCATCTTCCGTTCCTGCGTGCCACATCCGTTAATGGTTGCATATGTGTAAAAATGATAGCACAAAACTACATACTCTGGCATGCACTCGAGCAATGGCTGGACCTGGGCAATGCCTGCATTCGATATGCTCATGAAGAGCTTCAGCCCAAGCCTCTCCACCATCTCCTCGATCATGGCATTGGTCTGCTTCGTGTCCTTAACATCTGTGTTCGTCCGCATCAATGAAATGCAGACCGATGGCACTTACCAGCAAACACCTCGATTGCTCTGCAGCCATAGGACTCTCAATCTCCTTGATCATGTCATCTACCTTCACTTTTGTGGGCAGAATGTCCGTGATGCATACGTCGAAGCTGTCACACGTGAGCCGGCACAGATGCTCTGCCCTGCGCCCATCACGAATGTGACCTTTCCCAGAGTGGTCTTAATCGGTGAGGCGTGTGACATCACAAGGTATGGGTCTGGGTGTAGTTGGACAGTTGGAGAATTGGATGTCAGGAAGGGGACAGGTGCAGAGTTTTGAGCTGCACGATGCATTTACGGTGAACGGGCTGAGCCATGAATGAGATTATCAAGAGGAGATTTGGGGGGAGGCAGGCCACTGTTTATGGGCTGCATCAACCATGTTCTGCTATTCGAGGAAGGTCTCCAATTTGCACAATGTGCTTCTGCTCCCAAAGTCGTGGTCTAGGCTCAGAGATATGTGGAAAATGATGGGGAAATAACAGTGCATCACCTGGATTTTGCACTCGCGAAATTCCAGCTGGCCCAGCTCACCCTCCATCCAACATTTCTCTAGTGATCGTGAAACAGAGTTGCAGCGGCAGCCGTCCTTGGCACCTAACCTATCCATCGGGGTCTCCAGACTATGAAGCAGAAGGATTTTAGACAGTGCTACATTTACGAGACTTATTCTGCTCTCTTACATACAAAATTCCATGAGGAAGGCTGCATGGTGATGGTGGTGGGGCCCAATTTAGCAAATTCCACGTGCGGTGGCCTGAGCAATAATGCTTGTAGCAGTTTCATGGATACTTGGTCACCCACATGATGAATTCTGCGGTGTGTGCCATGACCTAAGGCTCTATTTATTCGTGAGTAACATCTAGTGAGTGGAGGGTGTAGGCTGTTTTGAGGCAAACTTTTGCTGCTACTGAGTCTTTGAGTCATCATTGCGAACTCTAGTGTTCATATCCTACAGAAGCTCATGGCCTTCACCAGCTCGTGAAAGTATCATTGAGGCTTGAGCTTGAATCACCATGGATTCCATGACAGACATTACAATACAGTTACAATATGGTCTCTGCTCCTTTATCTGCTGACTTCACAATCGCACACATTATAGCGGTCACTGTCTTCCTTTCAGAGCACTAAGACTGATGCTTAGTACCAGCTCCTTGAGTGTCCAGCCTCTTCTTGGCTCTTCTCCCAACCATCAATCCCTCCTTGCATCATATAGGGTGTGCCAGTGCACACTGCAGGTATATGAAGAAAGCGAGACCACATGAGGCATCAGGGGGTGCGATCAAGTGAGGTGAGATTAAACATGAAATGCAGCTCGAGAGATCTAACCAGATAATCACAGCCTGGAACTAGAATTGTTTGCGTGACTCAACAACGTCTTGCATCACGACCACTCGACCACATGGAATGGGCACTGATGCTCGAGTTCTGACTTGAGCCTCAAACACGGAGCAGAGCTGTCGATGATGGTCGCACTGCCCGCGCTGTCCAAGTGACACAGTGTGGCCAGGATTGGACCACAGCTTGTTTCATGGGGAAACTGATGAGCCATCCATTCGCTTCCATGCAGAGGCCATGAGAGAGTGTGATGTCAAGACTAGGAAGAGATGACCAGCACTGGGGGAGCCTGTGTTTGTGGCGGATGGCCAGGCTTAGCACTTTGCTTGGATGTGCGAGCATGATAGGCTAGGTCATGAAAACGATGTAGACACATGATAAGGATGAGCCTACCTGGCAGGAAAGCTAAACTGTTAGTGGCTGACTAGTATCTGAATATGCAGCTCTTCAAGGAGGAGTCCTCACATAGCATTTTGAGACTTGCCGATGGGCTAGTTACCTGACGGATCATGCCTTCTCATCTCAGCGTCAATTGGTTGCATCTTGTCAAACTCCCAGACCTGGATCAATCTGAACTTTACTGAGACATTGTCACATACATGTGACATCCAAAGGCTGCCTATGGAATGCCCCTGTCTTTCAGGGTCTCGTTCACGATCTCCCACTGTACATCCGCTTGTGTCATGGTAACACCGGACAAGAGATCAAAAAGACTAAAAAGGGACAGTCACGTGGAACGTGCCGCCCTGATCCCCCTGATCCCAAAAGTATCCCCCTGAACCCTATGTGGTGCAAGAGCCTGTTGACTTACTGGTCGATGTGGCAGATGCAGGAAAGGGTGAGAGATATATGAGGGAGCTGGTGAGCTCAGTGAGTGCTATGGGTAGTAGACGAGGAGAAACAATCTGAGGTTTCATCCCCTACATGGCTGGTCTTATATACACATACAGCAGGCTATCTTACCTAAGCTACCTATCTACGGGTATAAGCAAATGGCGGTACATGAAACAATAGGATGTCCAGAAGTAGAACAATAAGTGGGAAGATCGATGGTTGCCGCAGTAATGCGTGTGCACATCGTGCCTATCTTGGTTTCCCTTTTGTTCTCCGGTGTGAACATCGTACCTATCTAGGCTTCTGGCTAAACTAATAGGAAGCGGAAGGCCAATGCATAACAATAGTCCTTGTTCCCTTTGTTCCCAAATGGGTGCCTCTATTGTATCCTGGAATAGACAGGTCCGACTGTATCATCCATGGGTCTGGACCATAACATGTGATGTGGACTATCACCTGATCTCTACGCGTCACGTCTGTGGCTGAGTGGCATGAGATATTGGTGAAGCACGTGATCTGTGATGTGAGAAAAGTCACGTGCGGACTTTGTGGCGAAAATCTGTGACACTACCCCCCTCTCAAGGCTCATTGTCCCGAGGAGCCAAAACCTTTATTACCCCTTCTAGTTGCTCGCAATGGTTGGTAGCTTCGGGAGGGAAGCCCTTCTGCATAATACTCGAAGATTATTTGGGCTATTCTATCTCCCGGCTTGACCGAAAATACGAAATCTGTTGTGTTGATTAGTACGACCTTGAGTTCCCCAGTGCAATCAGGATCGACGACTCCTGCGCCCACGTCAATTCCTCGTGCAGCTAGTCCGCTGCGTGGAGCTATTCGTGTATAGGTATGTTTGGGAGGGTCAATCATGACTCCCGTTCATACCACAGCTCGTGAATGCGGGGGGATTTCATGTGTTTCTGCTGCATAAATATCCCATCCTGCTGCTTCATTTGAGGATTTTTTCAGTGATTTGGCGAGATCTGTCATCTTATGATATAGGAAGAACTCATCTGGATGGTCGGACATGTTGATTCGGTGTGTGGAGATCGGTGCAACTTCA